AAGAGCCTCTATTTTCAGTTAAGCCATTTTCCTTAACCTTCTTGTCCCTTTCAACTGTCTTATTCTTCCTCCTGATCTCCCTTTCTGTAAAAGGGACAAACCAAGGGACAGCAGCCGAGCCTTGAAAAGGGCATGTGATGAAGGCTTCTCGAACATTCACTTTCTGTGTGGCCTCCTCCGTGCGTCCCCAGAGGCTGCATCTTGACTCCTGCCAGAGCATTTCCACCCGCCCTGCTGCCTCTCCCCAGGAGAAGGTCTTGGTGTTTAGAGAGTTCCTTGATGAGATGAAGCTGACTCCTCTGGGTGGTGACACACATTCTGCTTTATTTTTTCATTGTAGAGCTTATATGGTTTCAGGAGGTGGTAAGAAGGGAAGAGAAAAAAACAGGAGCAGAAATGCTTTTATTCTTTCTTCTTCCCTCAAGAATATATAGGAGTGTGGCAGAGCCAGAGGATCCTGCTTTCTTTAGGAAAACTGTGATGGTATTGAAGGTGATTTCTATCAGCATTACTTCCAGAAATGCGGAAGTGGTGACATCCTGGAGAGATGGGGGCTGATAAGTCCATCAGGTCCAATTCTCTCTTCTAGTGTCTGGAAATCAAGCAGGCTTTTAAAAGCAAATTCAGGTTTCTAATGGCAAGACTTGAGTGTGTTCTCCAGGGAAGTACTTGACATTTCCATAAATGGCAGAGGCAGAGAAAAAAACCTGATGAGGAAAGATGCAAGGCAAGGTTAGGACCATAGAGTTCCAGAGCCACTGGCTAAAGCTCTTTGGAGACCTGCAGAAACTGCAATCCTCTAAATGAGGTTAATGGTGATGCAGAGGCTTCTGCCTGTCTCGCATCCCTAATCATGAACAAGAATCTTCAGTTGCATCTCCTCTAACTTGCCTACCTGGCTGATTTTCCTCTGGCCCACTTCGTGGCTGGCATGTTTGGTTCACATATATTTGTTGGAGATGCTAATAAGAATGGCCCCAAAGTAGATTTGTTAGGAAGGAAAGGACTTGGCTCAGTGTCACAGGGAAGTCAGATATAGTGAGACTGAGAGACCAAAGTCAAGAAAGCAAAGTAAGTTTTAATATACTCTGCATAGAGTAACAGATGACAGGCAGGTGTGGATGCTCATTCTGAGGCTTCTTTTATGTGGTTTTGGCAGGGCGTGATTGACAGCTGTCAGCTCTCTAGGTTTGTTTTGTTTGGTGAAATGGGGACAGGGGCTGTGCTGTGCCTGTGCTTCTGATGTTTCTTATTTGCGGGGACCCTGGACATTTCCTGAGTCACTCTTGGACACTGTGCCTTCTTCATCTGATTAACTCTCTGAGTCATTTCTGGTTTTCTGGCTCTATCTGCTCAACTCCCTTAGTCATCTTTCGGGAGCCCTTTCTCCTTTTCATCCTGCTTATTTTTGTCTTTCTACCTAACAGGTTGGGATCTATTTATATGGTGGTCATGTAAGGAGCTGTAGTATTTTAAAGTAGACATTTGTGAGAATTCAAGACTATGAAACAGCTTCCCACTAAGTTTGCTTTTTGTTAACTTCATAGAATCCAGTTATGAATCTGATGGCTTTGTTTTGTTTTTGGTGCTTTCATTTGTTCCTAACTTTCTAAACATTACTGTAGATTTACACATTTTTATAGAAGATTGATCTGAGCTTGAGAAGCCTCTCCCCCATCCTGAGTATCTGGTTTCCTGGGAAGAGGCACAGAAATGTGCCTGCATGCCAGTTTCTACATCTTTTTGTGGCTCTGGAAGGGCAAAGCCTTCTGTCTGAATCATCAGGATGGTCACCTGTTCAGAACCTGGCAGGTCTGGACAGCAGCTAAGCCATATGCAGCCTCTCATCACCTCCACCCTCAACTGCACCACTCATGGTGACAGAGCCCACATTCCAGGACTTATCCATTTGAATCATTGATGTCTGCAGTGCTCTTTGCTGGCAGCCTCTGTGAAAACGTTATTCCCCTGTCCTGCACCTGTTCCTTTGAGGTATCAGTTTCCATAGAAAGGAGGAGAAGGAGTCTGTGTTTTATGCTTTGCCTCCTGGGTCTCAAAGCATGGCTACTTGTGCCTTACACCTCATGGAAACAATCTCTCATCTTCTCCCTGCAGAGCCTCTCCCAGTAGACGTTATCCCTATGGGCAATGCTCAGCTCTTCCTCTCCCTGCCTCTACTTACACTACCCCCAGGGATCTGAATGTGAAATGTCTTGCTTCAGGCCTTATTCATTTTATGATATCAACTCATGCAAATAGATACCTGGAGGAACCATCAGTTTATCATATACAACCAGGGTCTACAACCCCCTTCAGGCTCTGTTGGGATTCTTTCAACAAATACATAGCAAGAGGAGGGAGACAGGCAATGGCAATACATACAATGCCATCTCCTGCATAAAGCTGTCCCTTGTTTACCCAGCCAGATGTTTCTAGCCTCTGGACCCCCAAGCCCCCTGTGTGGAACTTTCTTTAGGTATGTATTGTGCATTTTTTAACTCATAATTCTATATGTATGCTTGATAAGCTGTAAACTCCATGGGTGGAACTTACACAAAACACATAAAAGTGCCTGGCACACAATACTTCTGTGTGCATATGCCTGTACATTCACACACACACATGCATTTAATCTTATCTTCTATGGTTTCATAGAGACCTGCCATCTTTGGCACTCAGTAGATCAGTACTCACCAAAGCTTCACAGCAGGATTCATGAGCCAAGTAATTCTAAGAAAGGACTGGGATGTTTGAAACTTAATGATACAGACTTCTTTATGGAAAAAAATAGGGTTGAAACCAAGAAACACTGAATAATTATTTTTCAAAATTGGTTTTTAATACCAAAAGAAAGTGAATACCCATGGATGCTGGGCAGATAGCAACACATTATTTCCAAGTTGGCCACATATGCTTTCTTGACTGCTACCTAGGGGAAATCTGACTTCTTTATTCTGAGTAAAAATCACTAAGATTGCTTTTGCCATCACTGGGTTCAGGACATTCTCATCAGGGCAGGCCTATTTTGATTGCCTCTAGACAAATAGCAGGCCCAGTCTGAGCATGGTATGCCACCCTGTTTGTGTCTGTTGTTAAGAACTGCATGTACTGATTAGAAGTATCTATCTCAATACCTCTTTGCGGTATTCCTCCCTGATTGATAATTCTGAAGCAGATACTTGAGAGCTACTATGTGCTGAAAGGTTCATTTCCACCCAGATTGTGTTTGGTAACTTTTCATCTTGTGGAGTTTGCTTTAATTGCAATTAACATAAAAATATTTTTAGTTACTGGTTCTAGTTCTGTTGTTCTTTCCTCCATGAATATTTTGTTCAGTCTGTGAATACCCTGAGAAAGTTTGCCTCAACACCAAAAAAGCAAATGACCTGATTAAAAAATGGGCAGAGGACCTGAACACACATTTTTCCAAAGAAGAAATACTGATGGCCAACAGACACATGAAAAGATGCTCCACTAGCTAATTATCAGGGAAATGAAAATCAGAACCACAATGAAATATCACCTCACACCAATTAGAATAGCCACTGTCCAAAAGACAATAAATAACAAGTGTTGGTGAAGATGCAGAGAAAGGAACCCTCCTATGCTGTTGGTGGGAATGAAAATTGGTGCAACCATTATGGATAGCAGTAGGGAGGTTCCTCAACAAACAAAAACTTAGAGAGACCATATGACCCAGTATTTCCACTTCTAGGAATTTACCTGAAGAAAACAAAATCTCTGATTCAAAAAGATATATATACCCTTATGTTTATTGCTGCATTATTTACAATAGCCAATATAGGGAAGTAATTAAAGTGTCCATCAATAGATGAATGGATAAACAAGATGTGGTACATATACATAATGGAATATTCAGTCATTAAACAAAAAAGAAATCCTTTCATTTTCAACAGCATGGATGGATCTAAAGGGTATTATGCTAAGTGAATAAGCCAAGTGGAGAAAGACAAATACCATTTGATTTTGCTTATTTGTGGAATCTAAAAACAAAGCAAAGCAAAATGAACAGAGTATCAGTAGACTCAAAGACACTGAGAAGTGACTGGTGGTTATCTTGAGGGAGGGGGAAAGGGAGAGGGTCGGGAGGGTGAGGGGAGTAAAGGGACACCAAAATCTCAATCATAATTATAAATTGGAATGGAAGTGCATCACGGAGAATATAGTTAATGATTCTGTTATGTTGACAGATAGTAACTGCACTAGTTGGGGTGAGGATATAATGATGTTACCCACTGTTCAATCATCGTGTGGTATACTTGAATGCAATATAATATTGTGTCAACTATACCTCAATAACAATAAATAAACAATAAGAACAATAAAATAAGGGATATTTTATTGGGAAATTCTAAATTTCTATTGGAATTTTTGAGTGACCATATCATATAATGGAGAATTATTCATTCACCATTATTCTTTCTGGGGAGGCCACTGGGTATCTGTGGCAGGGATATTTTGATAAGTTTCTAAGAGTAGAGAGGACATGGGACCTTAAAGGACCTGGACATGAGCAGAAATGTTTTGCATGACTCAAGGTGAGGAATTTGTTAGTCTGGAAAAGAAGTGGGGACAGAAATGTGAAAGGGCAAGAGAAACAATGAGGGGGTGGGTGTGATGTGCTCTGTGTTGTGAGTTTTCCCTGTAAATCTCAGTAAAGTCTCCAAAAAGCATGAAATGCTGGAAGTGATGGTATTTCTCATGGAAAGCAGTGAAAGCTTGAACTTTGAAATTCAGACTGATCTGGGACAAATCAGAGACAGCACACACAGGTCAGGAGGCTGAGAAACACCCTGAAGAGAGAGTGGTAACACCTCGCACAGCTCTAGGCCATGGAATCAGGTTTGAAGATAAGGTTAAGTACGTCAACTCCATCTAGGAGGGAAAAACATCTGCACTGTAGTTACAAAGTTCTTTTTAACTCTGGAGAAAAATAGCTTGAGACATTGCATTTGCAGACTCCTTCCTCACTCATTCCCATTCTAAATCACCAGCTTCACGCCCAGCCTTGAGCTGGATTCTGTGAGGCAGACACTGAAATAAAGACAGTTTATGCCGTAAGAACCTTTATGTCTTATTGGCAAGGTAGCTCATTGGAAAGTTTAAAATTTTCAAAAACTGAACTTAGCACGTTTTTATTTGAATACAGTGAATTTCTCTTTCACTTTATAGTAGCTTGGATTTGGTTAAAATGTTAATCAAACCATCTCTTTCCCTAGACGTTTTATATTTATACATAAAATGAAGGGGGAATGCCAACCTCTTTGTCCCTGGCCTCCATCTCTGTTGTTATATAGCTTGTCCACATGCAATAGATATAGGAGGGAGTAGGGAATGTTTCTCACCAGGACATAGCTAGACACAAACACAGGGAGTCAGATGACAGCTGGGCAGACTCAGGCCTCCCCATTGCTACAGGTTTTGACCTTCTGCCAGGCACTGTGTGGTCACTGGAGACACAGATATGTTAACGTTACACCTGACACAAAGGAGCTCAAAATCTAAGGAAGATTTTTAAAATTAGGACTCTTAATTAATTTCTGGGATAGAAACCAACACAAACTAACTTGAGAAAAGGGGAATTTATGAGAAGACTTTATAACCAGGGAAAGGGCTGGTGTGTGTCAGGCCTTAGACATGGCTGGACTATAGGGTCAAGTGATGACTGTGTCCCCTTGACACCTCTCAGCTCAGCTGTTCTGTGTGTGGCCTTTTCTTCCCATCCACCTTGTCCTGATCTGACATCCACACACTTCTCAGTTTTATTATCACAGAAAAATCAGTCCTTTCTTGAATTCCAGTTTGAAAAATCCCCATGATTGGCTTGGCTTGACTTGGCTTGATGAGAGATGAGATGCAACCAGGTTTCATGAACAGGAGCCTCTGAAGCCCCCTTGGCTGGAGAGGGGAAGGAGCAATTCTCAAAAACAAGAGGTGTCAGGTGCAGAAGTTAGGAGAAGTTCTGGATAGACAAAACACGCTCCTTAAATATACTTGAGTTATCTATTACAAGCCATTCAATTTAGCCTTGGGACTATAATGATTAATAAGACATAATCGGTATCTTCTGGGAGGTCTGAACAAATGAGCATTGCAATGAAAATGGTGAGCACAGGGTGCTATGGGAGCTCAGAAGAGGGGCTCCCGCCAAGCCTTGTCTGGCAAAGTGGGCTCTTTGGCAGCAGGGGAGGAAAAGAATGCTGTCTTGAGTAGACAGGGAATCTCAGGCAGTGACTCATGGGGAGAGGAGGCTGGAGCTGTTTGGGGAGCTGATGGGACATGAGGCTGGACATGGCAGCAGGCATGAAGCTCCATAGGTTGCATGAATCAGGCAAGAACCTGATGCTTATCCCATGGAGAAATGGAGCAACATTTAAGAGTTTCAATCAGGAAATTGCATGATGAGATTTGGATTTTAAGAAGGTTGCTCAGGCTGTAGGGGTGGAGAATGGGTCTGGAAAGAGTTGGTGGGAAGTGTGAGGAGGGCACGCTGTTGTCCAGGAAGGCTGTGGTAGCAGTGTGGGTGGGGGATGAGGTGGACACAAGAGGGACTTCTAGGAGGTAGGACTGGGTAATGGACTGGGTTTTGGGGGCCTTGGAATAGGGGAGAAGTGTGGATGAAGTCACGGCAAACACTGTGGCATAATTCTCTAACTTGTTTGGAAGGTAGCTCATCTGGATGTCTCATTGTTTGTGGAATCTAAAAACAAAGCAAAACAATATAAACAAAGCATCAGCAGACTCATAGACACTGAGAAGTGACAAGTTACAAAAGGGGTGGGGTTTGGGTTGGGTGCAGGATGAAGAGGCATGAAAATCTTAATGTAAAATACCATGACCTTCTGATATATTAAAACTTAATTTCAAATAAATACACAATATTGTCAAAGTCTCACTGTGGATCCAGCAGCCAAGTTGTCCAAGTTGTATTTTTTTTAATCTTTGTGAAAAAAGTTAAAAACTGAATTTAGTTAAAAACTAAATTTGGTTTACTAACATAATGTTTTTCCCCTGAGAACACAGCAAGCCAGTGTTCAAGGGCAGGATGGTTTGAGGGTTACTGGACTTGATGTCAGAAGGTGGGGATGGAAGCAGTGTTCTTAAAAATAAGCTGGAAAGTTAATTCAAAGGTATGTCAAATGGTGTAGTGTTTATTGATCTGTTCTCTTAAAGTTTGCCATTACCATGTTCCTCTTGTATTTTACTTAATATTTTCTCCTTAAATAGATTCACTTTTTAAATTTAAATTCATTTTGAAAGGAAATTTTATACTATTGCCATAGAAGGAAAACCAGTTTCACTTGCCAAAAATAGATGATGGCATAAAATAAGTAGAACAGAAGCAAACTAATGTTAAATTCTGCCTAACATAACTGTTTCTTGGTTGTTCCTCAGTTCTGATAGCTTGCCTTTTTAGCAAGCACCTCTCTGAGATCACAGGAGCCTTCTTTCAGGGCATGTAGCTTGACCATATGTTCCAGGCTCCCTTACAGCCAGCTGGGGTCACATGACTGAGTTCTAGCCAGTGGAACTAGACAGAGTGATGAGTACCCCCTCAAGTCCTGGCACATAACAACCTTCCATTCAATTCTTCACATCCTCTCTCTTTGAATGAAGAGGAGCTAGCAAAAATATCTGTGACCCTAGGAGATAGCAGAGCCACAGGACAGGAGGAAGCTGGATGCTGGAGTGTCCACATGGAAGGTCGATGGGTAAACATCCTCACTGAGTGGGTAATAGCTTTGTATTGTGTAAAGCCACTGAGGTTTTGGGGTGGTTTGTTATAGCACTTTGCCTATGCTGACTACAGTATTGCTAAACACATGGTTGCCCAAACAGAAACTTTCTCCTTGTGTGAAAAAAGGACCAAATAAATCCTGAAAGCTAAAAATAATTTTGATCTGTGCTTCAGTGTGATTTGATGCTGGGTATATTAGCCTCTTAACACCATCTTTCATCCTGTCTTCTGGAAAATATCAGAGGAGGACATTATGTGCCAGGCTTGAGTATTAGGACTTTTCTCTTCTAAACCATATATGTCAGAATGTTATATAATCTCCTGAGTAATGATGGCTAAATAGAGTAGTGATTATTTTCACCCATATTTGGGTATCCCCTTTTTAGGTTGGGTTGGAGAAAGCATATCAAAATCTGGAGTGGTAAGCATGTGAAATGTCATAAGCACTACCATCTCCTTCTCAAACATGCTTGCTTCTGATTCAATTATAGCTCCACTTTGTGATAACCAAAGCTTCAGTGTCCATGGATAAACTTTGAGGATGCTAAGAAGGGCAGTACATGATTGGATCTATGGTTTAAAAACAAACCTCCAGTGACAGCAAGAAAGATGGATTGGAGAGGGTCTGGACTAGAGTCTGGACTTATAGCAGAGTTGTATCACATTTCCATTTCTCTTTTGTTATTGAGAATTATGTCTGAATTATGTTATGAAGATGGATGGCTCATCTTTCTCATGTGTTAGAGAGGGGATATTTTAATTTGAATAATAGTCACCATATGCAAGCTACACTCTTCCATCACAAATGAAGTGGCTGAAATCCATGGGTCATGAAAGGAATGTTGGAGATTAATTAGAACTACCACAGTGTGACACGCACACTATAAGCTCTTTCAAATTGCACTTAGTTAACATTTGCTTACACAATCTCCTTTCTCTGATGAACATCTTGCATTTAAACTGTATCTTTCTCCCCCACTCGTCCACGTCCTTGGCTTCTTAGGAGGCTCCTGTCCCACTTCTTTTCCACTTTATTCCTTTTATAGACCCAAAGATAAATGAAGGAGTATCACAATTAACATTACACGGCAGAGACTGCTGAGTCTCTGCCATTTCACACCCCACTCCATTTTACCTCTAGGTCAGGAACTTGTCCCAGATGCCAGCCCACATTTCATGGGAGGACATGAAGTTCCAGCCCCACCTCTGCCAGGAAGCTCAGAGATCTCTGGTCTGACCTGGCCTCTTTTCTTCAAACTCCGGCAGCACCTGCAGGACAGAAAAAATCATATTGCATCTTTTGCTGCACTGAAATTGTGTCTGGTGGTATATTAGCTATATACAAGCTTAGGCTCGTGTAGGCCATGGGTGTCTTCTCTTTTACTTCAAAGAATGGCCCCTTACAAGAAAACAGACATGTATCAATCCCCAACAGTTCAGCCACAGCTTTCTAGTGTCACATGAAAGAGGACAGTGGCTGAAGAAAGCAGCTAAAGTTACTTTGCAATCTCCACAGAGAATTCACACTTTGTGTGAGAGAGAAGGCTTTACAAATTGCTAGGACATGATCCAGTTTTAAAATTAATTTAAACCAGGAATGGTAAACAGACACCCAAATTTAGCCCACAAAGTATTTCAATTGAATTTAACAAATTTAAATATTTGAAGGTTTTTACATAAAAATCTACATTTCTAGTTTATCCAAGAAATGTATTTGATCTGACAAACCTGTGTCAAAATTACAACACATAGAACAAATAGCAACACATAGAATATGGCTTCAAGACCTGATGTCATGGAATAGTAGCTGCTTCTTTATATGGACATAGGAGGTCATGGACTCCACAGTTTGCCACTTTTCTATTCTTCCCACAGCACTCAGCACCCCAAACTGCCTGGCCCCAATACTCATTTGACTGTGCTGTCTCTGAGATTTTAAGTTTGCCCTTTGTGTGTGTTGTGTGTGTGTGTGTGTGTGTGTGTGAATGCATGTTTCAAAATTTACTTGCTGGATAATTGGAAGATAGTGTGTATTTCAACTCAGATTAATTCAAGGCCATCAGGTCTGGGGCATCCGATGCAATCTAGAACACTGTAGTGGGTTTTACAACCACAGACCTCCTACTGCATTATTCTAGAAGGGTTAATTCACACTTGAGGAAATGTACTGCTTTGGAAAGGAAGTGGAAAGCCACAGGGTGGATGGGGCTTTTAAAAGCTGGTAGCTAATTGCCTATTCAGATTAGAAGAAGCAAATGTTTCTCCGAGCCCTAGTGAGTAGATAGTGAGGTTAGGAACGAGTAGCTCAACCTCCCTCCCCAAAAGTTTTAAATTCTTGAATGCTTTTCTGTAGACAAAGGAAAAAGCCACATTTAAAATATAGTTTAAAATTCCCTACTCAACTTTTTCTAAATGTGATTTCCATTAGTGATTTTAGTACATCTTCAACACCTCCTAGCTTGGAAAAATGGCACAGATGACAAAGACGTGAGAGGCATGCCTTGCCCGCATTTCCTCTGTCACTGGTGTCCTTGCTTACAGGTGTAGCTAGGAGCTGATGTATCAACCAGCAGTAAACTATGCTTTTATTTTCCATCTCCTTCTCTTTCTAGTCTACCCTACCTTCACAACTTTCTTTTGCATTTTTAATTTCAACAATTGTATTTTTAGTTTCCAAGAACTTGTTCATGGAATTTTCCCTTTTAAGAGGCATTCTGTTCTTATTTTTAAGAGCTGTCTCCTCATCTACAGAGCCTTCCATGGTTTCTCTTGGGACCAGCTTCCTCCTTTCTATTTTATGAGTAAACACTCTTCTGTATTCTTAATGTTCCAGAAATGTGTGTGGAAATACCTAGTTTTCTAATGTCTTCCTCTCTTCTCTATCTTTTCAATTTATTTTCTATCTTTGGCAGGGGGAAAGGGAGAGGAAGAGAGATGGGGGGAGAAAGAGAAAGAGAGAGAGAATGAAATGAATATAAATATATGTATGTATTTGCTCTGTCCAAAAACCTTCAGGGGGAGATTTAATCGGTAAAATGATAATAAATGAATGAGTGGACCACTCAGGCCCTCTTTTTTTCTGGGGAGAAGGTGCTCAGTTTCCATCTGTTTTTCAGTAGTGGGTTATGATCTGTGGCAGTGTTGGCCAGCTGTCTGTCAAAATCTACTTTCTTCCATAGTGTGAAGTTGCTTCTGGTGGGAGGAGGTGTTATCCAGAGACACATTTCTCTTTACCTTCATGTGGCTATGTGAATGGTTCTTGGCAGATATGTCACAACAGATTTGTATTTTTTTAAGGAGTAGGGGTGCCCCCTACATTGTACCTTTCTCTTTTGGTTGGTTGGTTGAATGCAGAAGCCTCTGAGATCTTAGGGGATAGTAGAATCACAAGATGGAATAAAACTGTCACTGAATCACCACTTGAGGAAAGTCACTAACTACCAACACCCATATTAGCTATTGTGTTAAGCCACTGATATTTTGGCATTTATTTATTATAGAAACTAGCAGTACCTTAACTAAGATAGTTTCCAAAAAAAATTAAGTAACACTTCTTTATGGCATTATTAGAATGTAGTTTAAATTTAGGACTAAGTGTAAATCAGATGATCCTTTAAAACTTCACATTTATTGGAATCCAAAAAATAGGATGATTTGCTTTTTCTTGAAAATATCTCTTTTGGTGAGTTTAGGGAAGTTTACAAAAAGCTGACAGAATGTTTCTGTAGTTTTACCAGGTGGTTGTTTTTCTTCTTGAAGATGAATGTGGCTTAAAGGCCTGATATCAAGATCCATCTTCATTTCAAAATAATGAGCTCTTAACTGTGTACAATGATTTCTATTTTACAAAGTGTTTACAAAGCATTAGTTTATCCACGCAAAGGAAAAAAGAAAAAAAATAAATTAGAAGTCTATTTGGTATGGATGGAGTCAGAGCTGAGGAATTAGACAAATGTCTCCAAGGCCTGACCGGCTCTCTCTCTGCTGTGATGGCCCACTTTCACCTGCCCCTGCCTGGGAGAGACTTGTGGGGAGATGAGCCAGGCTGCCTTGGAGCTGATTCTTCCCCTTCCTCTGACTTGGTCTTTCTTTAGACCTGTTTATGACACTGCCCTTAGGCTTCTGCTGAACTCTGTTGGCTTTTCCTGCTCTGGCTCTGGGAGGCTGTCTGTCCTTAAGATTCTTGTGTGTCCATTAATCTCAATCCATTGTTTTATTTTTGTAATTTGGCTCTCGGAGTTTCAACAGTGTCTTATTGGCACTTCTGTGTATCAATCGCATCATCACTTTATAGATGAGGAGACTGAGACTCAGAAAGAGGAAGGGATTTATTCAAGGTCACCCAGTGAATGAGAGGCAGAACTGGAGCAGACACAATTGAGAAAGCAGGCATTAGTGTGGTTCATAAGACATGCTGCTCCCTGTTTTCCAGGGAATCACCACTGGGGGAGGAGACAGGCATTAAAGGACATGCCCAGAGTGTCCTGGCTGAGCCCCAGGGGCAATGTGGCCATGGGAGATCTGTACCTTCTCTACTCTTTCTATTTGTAAAGACTGAGTTGAAATGAAAACTCAGTGTCAGGGATTGCCATTCAGATATGGGTGAGCATATTGAGAGAGACTAGATACAAGTCAAAGTAGGAATCCAGATAGAAGAGCCCCTGAGAAAGAAGCTCCCAAGGGAAGAGGGTGTGGAAGGAAGAACCAGTTTCTACACTGGACTGAGGTTCTGAAGGGAGTTGGCAGCTCTGGGTCTGGTGTGGTATCTGTTATGTGATTCTCTCCTGAGAGTCCCATTGTAGCATGTGTATACTTTCAGGGGTAGAAAGTTGAACATATTCAAAGATGAGAAGGCAATAACATTTTGGGGCTTAACCTAGCTATTCTGTTATAGGGCTTCTGTGAGTGAGCCTAACACAGGTGGGGCACCATTTCTGTACCCATATGGTAGTGAGGCAATAAATAACCACCTTGAGCAAGATGGTGCACATCAATGCTGTCAGTGGTCTGGGAGTGTCCCAAGCCTCCCTGGGGTGAGTGGCAGGGCCAGTAGCTCAAAGGTGAGCTAAAGAAATATAGCATCAACCCACTGAGGACTGTAATAGACTGATCCGGGTATGCAGCGAGACCCAGCAAGGCTCCCCCAGTGATTCTGGCTAACTTCTGATTGAGACACTGGAGGAGCCTTGATAATACAAGGCTGAGTGCCCACATTTCCAGGGGGATATTCATCAGCTGGAAATAGGCATGCTACACAGCCTGTCACCACCTTAGTGGTGCTCACAGACCAGTGAGGCCTGGCAGCCTTGGGTTATACATAATCCTGATGACATGTTCTGAGAGCTCTAACCAAAAGAAGAGGTGAAAATGAGTACATGCCTTGGGGAACCACAGTATCTAAACTTCCAGGGCTGGGCTTTCCTCTTTGGCAGGCTGCCTCCTCTTGGACACTTGATACTGAGTAATCAAGCTCCTACCATGACAGTCAACGTCACTATGTTCTCAAGAGCACAGGCCTCTGACTGGTAGTATAAGAGCTTCAGTTCCATGAGATTATATGGATTTTCCATTTACTTCTTTTATCCTTGTGGGACTGTCAAATTACATTTGATTGTATAAGTTGGGGAAGCCCTAGGTTTCCTCAAAGTCTCAGCAAATTCACATAGATTTCCTGCTTCTGCCATATTTCTCAGTTCAGCCCCATGTCTCCTTGTGCACCCAGCTCAAGTTCTTCCCATAGGTTTCACTAAAAATTTCCTCACAGCAAATATTTAATGAGTTTCCATAAAATTTTTATAAGATTTGGGGCCATGGGGGATGGTAACTTTGCACACTGCACTGCTGTTACCATTTATCTCTTCTCTCTCTTTTCCTTTACCTTTTCCTCCTGCCCCTTTTCAGAGCAAACATACTCCTCTTGCTTGTCTCATGCAGAGCTGTTTCTCACTTTCCAGTGCCACAGCCTTAGAGCTGGCCAAGTTCTACTCTGAGCATGCTCACCAAGACATATTCCCAGTAAATATAATCTTCCATCCCTCTCCCCAAGAGGGCTTCAGGGAAGAATAGTATTTCCTTTCTCTTTTTTTCTAGTTTTTTTCTCTCAAGTAGCTTCTTTCCCTCTCATATCAAATCGTTCACCAACAGACATCAATTTGTTGGTTCTTATTTTCATGGTACATCTGGAGATGCTAAAAACTACAGATTCTGGAACTTCATGCAAGGTTTTTATTCTGTCATTCTAGAGTGGGGACTGGGTGCCCAGGAGTGCC